ACCAAGATTACAGATATCTGGATCCAACTAATAATCTTAACGTTAACCGATACAGATCTAGTTTTTTCAAAATCGTCGTCTGTGGGATTCAAACTCTAGACCTGCCGTTTGGGGGTGCAGCAACCCCACCACTTCACTAGGTCGCCACACCCTAGAAGCAAAAATTTTTTTAAAGATGAAAACATATAAAAATTTAGAATGTAAGTTTTTTTTATAATTGTGAAGCATAGCGCTAATTAAATATAGCGAAGGCCCTTAATAATGTTACATAGTCCTTTCCAAAATACCAGACGGATAACCGCATGCTTGCATGTGGGTATCCGTCACGGTCATTTTGGTAACTTAGAAAAAGCCAGAACGGGTCCTCGGATAAACAATATTCTAGAGAATGTCTATGATTACGTAATACATTTGGGGAGATATAAACCAGAATTACTACTAACTTGTAGACTTTAAAATAAAAGTGTACTATTAACATATATTCATTTGGCTTCTCTATTCTGCCAATATGCTTTTCTATATCCTTTCGCACTAGGAGGCTAACACCAAAGCCTTTCTTTTTAAATTTTAAACCAATCGACTATATTTCTTTGAAGTTAATGTTGTCCTTTACCACAAACCCTGCTTCTTGCTCTTGCAGATTTGTCTCTGTGACCCAATTATGTTGTATTCTTTTTCTACTGCCTATTTTAACAAAAGCTCTATTCTATGATTATGCACCTTAAGCCCGTTAATGTTGTGTGTTGCTATATTGATCTGCTTAGCCAATTCTAAAATTCCTGATAGTACTAGCTGTGTCCGAACCTGGCTACTATTTGGGGTACCTATAATTGATATGGTACCTGTGGCACCTCTCAAGAGTGCATGGAGGCTTTGCCCCTATTCTGATATTCTTCAAATGATTCTAGTCTTTTAAGAATTTCTTGCAATAGATCAACATAATCTGCTTTAATTTTACTACTTCCTTCCATGAATCTTTTTTGTTCTTGGTCGATACTTGGTTTTTTGCCTTTTCGTTGTATATTAATAAACTAAATATTCTTTCCCGTAAACTTGCGTTTTGGTTTATTCATGCTTCCTTCGAACAGCTTACCATACTTCTAGATTGAATATCTAAGTTTTCTTTGTCTGAAACTAGATTTTTCTCAATTAATCTTGGCCTTAAATCTTCATGCCTATTGATATCTTGTTTTAAGGTTTCTTTAGCTTCTTTGCTTTCTGGATTCGTCAGCCAAGAGGGTCTACTTGAGTTTTTTCAGGGTCTTTTAGTACCTTGAGGATGTTGTATACTCATGACACTACCACTTTCTGCCTCTCTACTATGTGATCTCCACTCTAGTTTTGTATTAAAATAGTATAGTGTCAACTTCTGAGCTTGTAAAAGGTCCTGCTCAGACTTAAAATACAATTGTGCTCTTCTGCTTTGGTTACCGTTTTGGTTCCTTAGTGTATGTACTGCTTGTACTCTGTATTTTTTTTAGCTGATAGAGTAAAAGGCTATTATATACTGTTGATGGTACATTATATATCATAGTTTTGAATTTGTTTTGCTCTTCTAGAAGTTTGATATCAAATTTGCCTAGTGTGACTCTGTACATCTTGCCTTGGTCAAGATATACTGACCAGTTTTCTCTTAATGAGATTTCTTGCTCCTCAGCAAATGTTGTAATTTTAATAAAAGCCGCCATGCTTGTGAAGTTATATTGCCAAGCTAGAATAGATGCTATACCAAAATACTTAAGAAATTTTTTAATTTCTGCTACGCTTGTTTCTCTCGGCAGATTCCAGAGTGTAAAGAAATAAGAAGGTTCATTTGTATACTCTTTTGAAATGAAATCTTCCTTGGGTGCCCATACTGAGTTAAATATATCTTTGTGTTTTTTAACTTTTTTACTATTTTTGCTTTTTGAACTGTTGTGTTTGTCTGTCGATAGAGGTTTAACTAAACCATAATTTAATATGCTGACTTCATTTTGTACAAGTATGTTTTGACTGCTTTCTAGCTCATTGTTAATTGAAGTGGTTGTTTTTTTATATTCAGTGAGATATCTTTTACGAGCAGAGCTTTTGACATCACTTAGTATATTTTTTCTATAATTGCTTGATAGAGTAATTGGCTTAATAGGTACAATGTCCATTAGAATTGAGCTATTTTTGTCAGATTCTTCTTGTGTATTATTTGTAGTAACCATAACCATATTCTCTAGCAGGGTTTTCTCCTCATCTGAAATAGACTCATACTTAAACTTTTTGCTCTTTGCTCATTTATATTTTTTGATAACTGTATGAATAATTGCAATGAGGCAAACATTGTTTGCTTCAAAATACTCTGCTATGAATTTGTCTTATTTTAGCATTGTTGGCTCTTGTTTACTATAAAGTGCAAGTTTCTCCTCTCTTGACTTGGAGAAAAAGTTTTAATATTCTTTAAGTGGTAGCATTCTTATTTGTACATGATGTATATTCACGTTGTTGTTTGCTTGTTTACTTTAGTCATAGGTGCTTCATGTGATTATTTGTTGTTTTTGGTGATCTATGTTATAGGGTCAAAGCCGATTCCCCAAAATTCATTTTTGTAACAAAAATTTTTTTTAAAAAGCAGTTTTTTAGCTGTACGTCTCTAACCAGTTGGCAGACAGCCTAGAAGTACTAGTAAACTTTAGTTGGCTTTCCTTAATACTTCTTTTCTCTTAGTCTATAAAGTACTATTCAGTAGTGTATTTTACTATTTTTTGACTATTTGTCTTTAGCTCAATTTTGGTATAAAGATCTGCAGAGAAGAGTTTAATATTATCTGTTAAAATATTAGTTGTATAACTTTATATAAACATAGACTTTATTCTATTATACAATTAAACTATTACTAGCCAAAACATATTTTAAATAACATTAGACAAATTCTATAGATCATTTATTAGTCAAACAGGAAAATTAGATAATATTAATCTTATTTTATACTTATTTCATAATTAAAAAGACATAGTATCACTTTCAACTTATTCTGTAATGAATGCACAAAAAGAAATAAATAGATATATAAAGGATTGTAATAATATAAAATTTAAATGATTTATTGTATTTAATAAATATAATAAATACCAATCTGCTATAAATATTTCATTAATTTAATAGGTATGGCGGCTTAATAAAGTGGTCTAGTCATTACTTCACTAAGTGGCAGGTCTAGAGTTCAAATTCTATAGACAACATTTTTCAAAAAATAGATTTGTATTAGGTAACAATTATCTGTCGATCAGTTGAATCTACAATTTGTAATCTTGGTTGTACCATTTTGTTATAAAAGCTTTGGCACAGAAATGACAAGAAACCAAGATGATCAAAACCCATTTGAGAAGACCCGAGTAAGGAGGTAGTGAATACTTTCAATAATGCTACAAAAAGGTCAAATTTGAAAGTGATAGCTAAGATTGGAGAACTGAACAACAAAAATGGAGGATTTACCAATCCGATCACCAATTAGAGAAAAAGCTAGCACACCAACCTAGTTAGCCAGTATGAGAAACCAGTGTGGTTATCTACCATGACTAGGATTTGAGAGTTAGGTTCTACCTGATGACAAGAGCTAGGCAATTCTTAAAGATTGGCCAGACTCAATTGGAGGAAAAGAGCATGTGCTATAAAATCATGTACTACAATGAGATAGAGCACAAGGCACCTAGAGCCTAGCCAGGGTCAAATCTTCTAGATCACAGGTTGGGAGTAAGGGAGGAACCAATAAGGCAAGAACAGAAAAAAAAACCCCCAAATATGAATACTGAGGTTGAATTGAACTTTACAAGGGTATAGCAATTTAATTGGGTTATATCAAACTGCAAGTGAAAATCTCGGCAACTGTGATGACTAGGTTAGCCAGATATAGGATATGGAAGGCTCCGGTAGATTTACTTTGAGGATAGCCATGCGTCCACTCAATGGAGGAATGCAAGTCGGTAATTAGTCGATACAAACCTAGAATAAGTTCTATAGGATAACTTTTTTCTAATTAGTCAATCTTATTCAATTGAATTTATACAGTTTAAAGTACTTTTTGAGATCTAAAAATTTTTATACTATAATATTATTAAATAACTATCAAAAATCAGTTAGAATACTTGCAAAAGGCTTCATACAAAATAATCCCAAATAATCCTAACATTTAGGTATACTTTACTTAGAGCTAATTTCAATATAGAAGAATAGCAATACATGATAACCATATGTTCTAAAGTTCCTAGTCAACATATAAAAACTGTAACTGACTGGGTTTGGAAAAGAGCTCGAGACAATGGTACTCTACCAGCTTACTTGCAAGTTGGTAAAACGTATGCCAATAGTTGTGATAAAGAAGTATGCAAAAGCAACTTCTAATATTCAACAACTTGACGCTAATACCTTAGATCCAGAGGCTAATACGTTAAATTCAGAAGTTATATCCTTTTCAATGGCAATAAAAATCATGACTAATATTTTATATAAGTGTGAAGTAACAAAAAATTACTAGCAAGGTATGGCTAGTCGTACTCTCACTTGTAAATAGTCAGAGAGCTTAAATAGGTAATCTCCTAGTTAGATTGCAGGCA